CAGGTGTAAGGTGGTATCTCAGAGTTGTTTTGATTTGCATTTCCCTGATGATTAGGGATGTTGAGCAATTCCTTTAATGTCTTTCAGCCATTTGAGTTTCCTCTGTTGAGAATTCTCTGTTTAGTTCTATAGCCCATTTCTTAATTGGACTGTTGGGCATTTTAATGTCTAATTTCTTGAGTTCTTTATATATTCTGGATATCAATCCTCTGCCAGATGTGGGGTTGGTGAAGACCTTTTCCCATTCTGTAGGCTGTTGCTTTGCTTTGTTTCAAGAGGTCCCATCGATTGATTGATTGATTGATTGATTGTTTCTCTCAGTGTCTGTTCTGCTGGTGTTATATTTAGGAAGTGATCTCCTATGCCAATGGGTTCAAGACTACTTCCTACTTTCTTTTATGTCAGGTTTAGAGTAGCTGGATTTATGTTGAGGTCTTTGATCCACTTGGACTTAAGTTTTGTGCATGGTGATAGATATGGATCTATTTGCAGCCTTCTACAGCTCCACAAGGTTGTCTTCTTACCTTTGCACACGCATGTGCTGTGGCTTGTTCATGCACACACATCATGCACACATTCACTAACTATAAACAAAATTAAAATAGAACTTATATAAAGATTCATTTAAGAAATTGTTCACCTGGGAGTTCTGTGGATATCTATAAGTTTTTGTCTCAGAATATGGAGCATAATGGTAATAATGGATGTTGAGTTCCTCAGCCATAAAAATAATAGAAATGAGTCTAAGTCATATGAACAAGACAGACAAAGTTTGTTGATTAAGACCTCATTTTGAGTCAACCGACTTAAGCCAAAGAGAGCCAGCACTGACCAGATGTAACCAAGCAGCTTTTATTAATTTCTTCATCAAATGAAAAGTTTTGTAATTGTCCATTAGTCATGCATGGGCAGTTTCCAAAGATGATCTTCTTGTATGCAAACATCATGACCTTGTACCTGTTGGGCTATGGGGTCATTAACATGACTCAGAACCTGCTGAGTCACATCTGGCACCATCATCTTACATGGATGTCCTAACCCGAAGATAGGATGAGGGACTTTGAGTACTTGAGTGCTTAAGAAAGAACCAAGGTGGTATAGAAGATAGACAATCATTCCAGTGAGTGGATAGGCCAAGTAGTTAGTTAGCCTTCTGTTCCTGTCTTGAACGAATCTTTGTTTATTTCTTTTTCTTTGTGTGTGTGTGTAACAGATCTTTTCTTAAATGTTCAACATGTTCACATGAAGAGCTGAATAGTATGAAACAAAGCCGTTGGCAGCAAACTGAACAGGCATGGGGTAACACAGAGGTGACCAGTCTACTAATCCTTCTTTAGTCATCTATCTAATAGCTATGGGTTTCAATTAGTGGACAAGGATTTGTGAACAGATGTGAACTTGATGGAGAGTTCTGTGGGGAGGATAGAGAATGGAAGGGGATTATAGGGAGCTCTGAGGAGCGGGCTGTCAGTACGTAGTATACATATGTGAAATTATAAATGGCTACACTTGTAATCCCCTCTCTTGGTAGATGGAAGTGGGAGGATTTATGTGTGAGGCCATCTAGAGCTATACATAGAGAGAGCCTGTCTCAAGAAACAAAACAAAAGGCAACGTTTGTCAGCAAAAACAGGTGCCAAGTTTCTACTAAGTGATCCAGGAAACTGTTATAATAATCCATAGTCAGAGGTGTTATCAAAACCAGGTGGAAGCTGATAATAGTATATTGGTCTGCTCTGTGACCTCCAAAGTTAGTGATTTTCCAAGTTAATGAAGAGCAAGTAAAGCTAGAAGGCTTCCTAAAGGGTTTTCTTTGGTAACATCCCTCCCGGCCTGTGCTGTCATTTGTATAGCTGTCTTTTTCAGGACAGGATCTGTCCTGGAACTCCCTTGTAGACCAGGATGGCCTCGAACTCACAGATATCCACCTGCCTCTGACTCCCAAGTGCTGGGATTAAAGACATATGCCACCACCACCCGGCTTGTATAACTATTGTAAACCCAAGTGGTTCTAGCTTTGTTTAATCTGAAGCAGCTCCTAGGATGTAAATATTCTAGTTTGTGCCTAATGCGGTGTTTTGTGGGTAACAGGCCAAGGACCTAGAGTTTATTTGTCTCTGGTCTCCTTCTGGTGGTCCTTACAGGTTTTAATGAAGGCTGGATTACCTATACAGACAGTAACACATTTTCAGACAAATGGAATCCCTACTTCAAAAGAAGTTTAGTAATGGCCAGGGTGTCAAGAGTTACATCAAACAATTTCTCTTCTAATATTGACACCAAATGTTTCCATTTGTCTGTTTTCTTGGCAACCAGGCTCATGTACTTCAAGGCAATGTAGTGTTATGTTATGACCATATAAAAGATATGTCTTTCTTTTGTAAGATGAGGGAAATATGACATTAAAAGTAGAAGCTTGCATTTTTATTTATAGAAAAGAGTACATGACAATTGTGGCTCTCAGTATTGGTTCCCTTACAGCCACCCGTGACTACACATATGACTTGGGTAGGTATAAGACTTCAGCTAAAAGGAAGTCACTTTTTAACTATCATGTGGGAAAAGGAGCATAGTAGGGTTAATACAGCAGTATCAGCTCTACACAGAAGGAATATTACATTGTCTTGAATTTGACATGTAATCTGTTGTTGATTTTGTTGATCCAATTGTGTCTAATTCACCTTGAATCTTTGCCTTCATATCCCTAGAAGATAATTCAAGGAAGTTGTCTCCAGTGTGTTGATGTCATATTAGAATGCCAAATGTTCGTGTTTGGGGAAGGTTATTTGTTTCACTTTAGGGCTCTGGATACTCTCATATATTTTTCTCTTTGTTTATGTTACTTCATGCACATGAACTACTGGCTCCTCCTTTTTACTCCCATATGCATGCATAGAACACACTTTCCTTTAACCCATTCATAATGTACTCACGATGACCATTCCATCTTCTTCCTAAACATATCTTTAATCTAATCTCACCTGTCAGGTGACAAGCACGTGTTTCCACTGTCAAGAGTGCACGTGTTGATATTTACATTTGTTAACCACCTTGCATTTGCCTGCTCTGACTAGCTGTCCAGATTTCCCTATAGCAACTCTCCTCTCCTGTTTTTTGCGTAAGGTAATTTTCTACCATAGTACATTTATTAGATGTAATAATGGAAATATAATCATTTTTGAAGTAATATTCAACTTAATCATCTGGCTCCTTGTCTAAAAAGAGTGTGCTGGGATTAAAGGCATGTGCCAACACCGCCTGGCTCGAGTTTTTGTTTTTAACTGAAGTATATTTTGAGTTCACTAAGGCTTTAGGACAGGGGGAAAAATGGCAAAGAAGGGAAAACTTTGAAAATTGGAAGCCATGCACAAGAAAAGCCATCCTTAAATATGTCAGGGTTTTCAAAAGGTGTTTCAAAAACACACAGGGTTGTAAGTTATGTATTGCATTCTCCTTTATCAATGCTCATAAGAGAAAGTGCTTGAGTGTTTGGCCATTGTCTACAGATCAATGAATCTTGTCATTTTCTGTCATTCCCTTTTGTATGGAGGACAATAGAATGCACATTACTAACACATGTAACTGTGGAGTTCTGTAAAAAAAAAATTGACATGATCTGTAATGGGTCATTTATCTTGCTAAATTTGTTTTCTCATCTGTGTGGATCAACATACACGCCCTTTTCTGATCAAGTAGTGATTGAGTCATGTGATATTAATAACATGTGAAAACATAAATGCAGAGATTTAGACATATATTTAATCATTGAATTATTCTTTTGTCACTTTAGCTTTAATCCTACACTACTTTAGAGGACTGGTCTATCTTGATCAAAGCCTGATGTAACTAATAAATGACCCAATAAGGAAATAAAGAATGTATAGTGGGCTTGTTGTTTTATTTTTCCTTACTTCTTTCTTTTATGTGTCTGTCTTCTGTTTCTTCCTCTTAAAACAGTTTTGGTATGAACCATGATGGAATTGGAAATTCTTGTGGGACGAAAGGTCATGAAGCAGCAAAACTTATGGCAGCTCATATTACTGCAAACACCAACCCCTTTTCCTGGTCTGCCTGCAGCCGAGACTACATCACCAGCTTTCTAGAGTAAGTAATCTCTGGAGAGTAATGATGAATCGCTCTAGAAGAAACTCACTGCCGAAGCCTCATGCATAGGGCTTCAGATTTGTCTCATTGGGCCCACTCAGATTTCAGGTCTCTCCCACATGCTTTCCTAAATCAGTGTGGCCCAAATAGTGAATGAGCTAGAAGTGGAAGAGAATGTATGTGTGATTGATAGAATGATGGATTAGAATTGTTCAGGAAATGGGAAGCATTTTCATAAAGAATTTACATTTGTATAATTTAGTAGAGAATAAGTCACACTTTAATTAAGTTATTCAGTATTTCATGATGTTGGTGAAGAACTGAATTGTTTAGGCTTCTCAGAGTATCTAATAGCAACAAATAAAAGCACCAACTAAACTAAGCATCCAGGAAGGGAGTGTTTTGAAGAAGGATTTAAGCTGTCCATCTTTTCCACAATTGGAGAAGCCTCTTCATGGTTATTAATGTGAATCCCAAGAATCTGATTCAATACATGTATGAGTGAGCACAAGTATACCTGTGTTTAGGAAAAGAGATTTTTTTTTTCTCATGTCACTCATGTGGGCACTCATATCGGACTTTAGGACCCAGTGGACTTGAGCGTTGCTTTCAGTGTGGCCCAGGCATGTTAGTTTATCTTTTTAATCTTAAAGGGTTATGAGTTTTTAAGTGAGTTTAAATCATAATGCTTACATCATTATATATTTTGTACATCATAATGTTCAGTGCTATATTATATAAATCAGCTGATATTCATTAAAATCATAAACATTACTATTTTAAGTAACATCAAGGTTGCAATAGTTTATTGCTGTACTATTACTTTAGCTGTTTGGTCCTAGTTTTTCACTTGGGGAGGTGAGGTTAAATGCAAATTGGACATTATTTTTAGAAAGTAGTTTATATTATACTTCATATTAGCACAATTGTATTAAAAAAGTTTTAAATTCAGACAATTTATGTAGGATAAAATTATGCCTTAAAATTTTCCTTAACTATTAGTAGCCAGGTCATAGAGTCTGAAAACTTGTGATTATGTAGAAAAGAGAGTTTAAATTACCCGGCACAGATCTTGAATTCAAAATCAAAAGATGAATGTTGAAAATAGGCTTTAAAAAATTTATTAGTACAATCATTCAGTTGGGAATTCATTTAAAAAAGTTGTCCTGAACTACTGTATTGTGAACTAAAAATTTTTAATCTTAGTAAGGAAACATTATAATATTATACTTGCCTAGTGTCAGATTGGGTGAAGTGCTTTAAAAAGACAATAAGGAATTTGGTTGATACCTTTGGTCATTTTTAACACAGAGCACTGAAAATATCATTTTTAAGTTGGTCTTTGATGAGCTCATTTACATAAATTGTAAACACTATTGAACTTCTCCTCCTTGTGGAAACTTTACCAGATCTGAAATTTCTCTCTTGTCTTGGCTTGTTTTCATAATAAAATCTCAGTCTCTATCATCATAAAGACAAACTGTGGAACATGCTCAGTATTTGTGTGTATTTTCAATGGCAGTCCTTCTCTTGAGCTGTAAAAGTGCTCTGTCTTGCTCTCTGTATTCTGTTTCCGTCCTCTCGGTGGATCTGCAGTTCATTAGTGAGTGCCAGCCTTGTACACTAAACACAGGACCATAGCCTGCTATTCCTGAGCCTTAGACATGTAGTAAAGCGTGTGTGTTCTTTATGTCCTACAAACATGCAGAAGCATAGATACACTGACTACTTTTGAGCTCCTGCCGGGTCTTGTGTAGTTGGAAATGTATTATGGCTGTTAAGACACTCCAAAAGGACTCTGTGATTACTGCTAAAATATAATGAACTGATCACTTCCTTGGTGAGGGATGTAGAACGAGTAACCCTTGCATTATAGCAGTCTGTTGAATTAATGGAAGTAATTAATCTGAAGACATTATTTAATCTTAATTGTTTTCCTGTATTTTGTACATATAAGCAAAATGAATGTTGACAGGATTCTAATGGGCATATTTATCCTGTATTTTATAAAAAGTGTTCTTTTGGGTATCCATATGGAAATGCCTGAAGTTAAAACTACTAGGAAATGGATAAATGTTAGAAGAAAAAAAGGACTTGGGAGAAAACTCAGCTCTCCCTTATCCACTAATAATAAACTAACTAAAATCTTACTATAATTTGTCCAAGCAACAAAAGATTTTAAACATAAGCTTTGTTAAAAAGATCAGTTCACTGGATCACAAGGATAAAATAGTATTTTTAAAAGATTTCTTTGTTCTTTTTTCTATGCATTGAGCTTAATTGCTTTAACATCTATGAGTGATGTCTTTATCTGTATTTGTATCTATATTTAAATCCAGAGGCATTTTGCAGTTTGATCAAGGATTCAGTTTACATCTATGTTTTGTAGTTGGCTCAAAAAAGGTCAAAGCACTTTATTTTAGCTCTTCTTTTCAAGAAAAAGAAACCTTGAAAGAAGTAATTACTAAGGAACTGCCACCCAATCAACAAAATGCATAACTTCCTCTACTTAGAGACTGTATAGAACAAGAATGATCGATGACTTAACAATGAGCTTTCGACGATTTATAGAGATCCATTATTCACTGTTTAACTGGAAAAACAAAACCCAAGACATGGCCTTAAAATGCCACTAGAATGCAGTCTCTCATGTCATTCTGCAACACTAGGTGCTATTGATCAATCAGGAGATGGTGTTTACCAACTCCCAATATTTTTTTTCAGATTTCTTAAACTCGGTGATTCAATAAGTGGTTCATGAATCGCCCAGAAGCCGTCCTGATTAAATAATAAAGAACCCATTACCGTTAAAATGGACGTGTTATGCCAGCTTCTGATGTTTTCCGAAGACGGCTTTGCAGGTAGTGTCCTTCCTATCTGCCTGCGGGACTCACTTATTTACTTATTTAGAAAATAGAAAAAGATGAACCTGGTATGAAGGCTTGCTTAACTCATTGACTATGGGCTAGTTTACCAGGCAGTGAAAAGCAGATAGCTGTAGCTTAAGATAGCTTTCCAGCCATTCCCAACCAATTAGAAGTAGTTCAGAGCAATTTCATATTATTTCTAAAAGATATGGGGGCTTTGTGAGTCATCTTTTGCCCTATTTAAAGTCTGTCAAATTGCTTGAACTCTCAAGGAGCTGTAGCATAATTGCTTGGCATTTCAAGTTATATACAGACTCTGTTTCATACAAGGGTGTAAACTGATTAAATACACTGAGCGACATCATTATGACTGAAGGGGAACTAAGAAGGTTGAGAGAAGTGATGTACGATGGACAAGATGGCCAATGCACTCATATTTGCTATCTAGAAATTGCGCTCGAAGCTTAGCTTCTCCCTGTTAAATGGAAAACATCTTCTTAGGTGGAGCCTCCCCTCACCCTTCCAAAAATTGTAGTATCCAAGAAATGACCTGCCAGAACAAGTTTCTCCTTCAGTCTGTCTGACACACCTTGAGACTTTTGCTCTAAACATGAGTGTCTTTGACAAGTTGTCATTTTGTGTCGAGTGGGTATTGAGTCACCATTCATAGCATGAGACTTGTGTCTTTGAAGCTTCAAGTTAGTTGTATCCCAACATTCATGTTGTACAGTGAGTGACAGGACAAATAGGTTTGATTTTAGATCCCTTTGCACTTACCTGAGTAAGTTATTACATAGCTATGTTTGGTTCAAACATTGTTAGTTTGAGAAAAAATGATAAAGCTACTCATGAGAAGATAGTAGATAAGAATTTAACTTGATGTAAATGATATCAACCTAGTTCATGCTTAATTCATATGTATCAGCATACCTTTGTGAAAAAAACAGGTGGCATTAAGTTATACTTCTGTGTTGATAAGGTACTGTAGGTGCATACAACTTGGGTAGATGTACCTTTAGATTGGCTCACTGTATAGACTAAAGCTCCATTCTTTATAATCTGTTTTAGTAAGAATAAACTTTAAATCTCAATTAGTAATCCATCCTCATGTGTTCTAGAAACAAAACCAGGAGGACATATTTTATAAAGATCTATAATTTTATTAGGAGACTGAAATTTGGCTCATATTGTTTTCAAGGTTGACTTTGGGACTCTGTGAGTAAGTACTCACTAACTTAGAAGTGGGGTACATAAAATGACTTTCCCATCACAATGCAAAGAGTTTTAGAAATATAAATATATGTTGATTTACTATGATTTTTTCATAATCAACGAAGATGTATATTTGTAGACTGATATATATTTTACCTTGTCTTGGAAGGTTAAATAAAAACACAGATTGTCAATTTAATGATTATTTATATTTATAACACATTAACTAGGGTTTGGATTTTTGTTGGGAAATATAAACTGCTGGAAAACTAATTATAGATTTAATTTTATGCATTTAGTTTTATGTTGGACAAATATATTAAAAGTTATAGCCTCTTACAGATGAATACTAATAGTTCTGTATATATAGTTTATTAATGAGTAAAGTTTAAGTTTTCTGAATGAAAAAAATTTATGTGACCCTCAAGACACAAACCATTTATCTTAGTAATTGTTGTTAATGAGAAAATTCCAGAAATGTCTATAGATTTATCACTGCTATTGTTATTTGATACTAGCATGGATTACACTAGGCTTGGCATAGTAAGACTTATTGCTTCTCAGTTAACTAAATTCTAGATTAAACTAGAACTTTCCTTAGCTTCTGTTTTGTTACAAGAACATTATAAAGTGTAAGACTATGTAACATTTTCATAAAAAGGAATCAGAAATACTAGATATAGTGGTATATGAACATGTAAGGTATGTGACCCAATCTTAAATTGAGTACTTCAACTCCTTTTAAACAGGCGTTCTAAAATAAGCAGATGGGTGGCGAAGAAGAGCTGTTATTGAGAAGAGTACAGAGAGCTGGGCATGTAGCACACTCCTGTAAGTCCAGCACTCAGATAGCTGAGAGAGACCACCTTGGTCTATATAAAGAGACTGTCGCAAAAACCAAACAGAATAAAAATAAATAAATTATCGTCAATTCATCTGGAGGATATGGGAGATGAGTAGGCAAGGAAGGACTATCGTAGAGAAAAGTGAATAAAAGCAACATATGATGATGTATGAAGAAACTACAATGAAACCCATTAATTTGTATGATAACTTAAAATAATATTAAAAAAATTATTCATGTAGAGTTTGGGAGATGGCTTGATGCAGTGTTTCTCAATATAGGGGTGGCAACCCCTGTGAGGTCGAATGACCCTTTCATAGGGGTCAATATCAGATATTCTACATATCCGGTATTTTCATTATAATTAATAACAGTAGCAAGATTACAGTTATGAAGTAGGAATGAAAATAATTTTATGACTGGGGAGTCACCACAACCTGAAGGATTGTAGCATTAGGAAGGTTGAGAACTACTGGCTTAGTGGATAAAGTGGTATGCAAGCATGAGTACCTAATTCTGGATCCCAGAACCCATGCCAAAGGCCAGGTACAGTGGAATAGAGCTGTAGGCCCAAAGTGTGTTTTTTGAGGGGTGGCTAGCTGAATCCTGGGGTTTGTTGGGCAGCCAGTCTAACTAAAACGGCTGGTCTAGGTTCAGTGACAGACTGTCTCAAAAATCAGATGGAGATAATTGAGGAAGACATCCTGAAACTAACCTCTGGCTTCCACACAACTGCAGGGGTGAGTACACCCTTACACACATGCATCTACCTATACCGTGAGGAGTGGTTAGAGAGAAGTTACTAGTGTAAAACCAGAAATCAGACATTACCTCATGAACATTTAAAAATCAGAAGAGCAGCTAGTCATAGGAAAAATTTATTAGAATTGAGTGCTCAGAAATTCTTTGGTTAAACACACATATGAAGGACAGAGAGGGGAGGAGGGAGGGGGAAGTGAGAGAGAGAGAGAGAGAGAGAGAGAGAGAGAGAGAGAGAGAGAGAGAGAGAGAGAGAGAGAGAGAGAGAGAGAGAGAGAGAGAGAGGGAGAGAAACTCTTCTGATAGAATCAAATCTGCATCCCACAGATCTGTGTTCTTTGCCTTCTGTGTCTATATCTGTACTACTTCAGAATGGTAGTTGATAGCTTAGAAGCATGAAAATACCTTGAAGTACTTTTCTTCTTAAGAGTCAGTTAGTAATAATTATACTCAGCTGGGTAGTGGTGGCACACGCCTTTAATCCCAGCACTCGGGATTAAAGCAGAGGCAGGCAGATCTCTGTAAGTTCAAGGCCAGCCTGGTCTGTAGAGAAAGTTCCTTTTTTCTTTTATTGAATGGAGAGTTTTAATCTTCTGTAAAGTGTACTGGACAAGGAGAACTGGTCTTGTGTAGCTATTTAATAATAAAAAAAAGAAATAGGTGCTTCCTGGGACCTAAAATAAGAATACACTTTGGGGACCAACTCTTTGGAGAGTTTTGGCCTTAGGTCCTAACCATGCCTGGCACTGTTGGCTCTGAAGGTCTTTTCAGTGCTTGTCTGATCTGATTTTTTTTAAAGAAAAGAATATGGTTAGAAGATCACTATATCAAAACAAGAACATTAAATGAAATAATTAGTTTTGCTTCTTCCTAAATCAAGCCAATTTTACCATCAGGAAAAAGTTAGTTCCTTTGTGTATCTATCTTTAAATTCCCTTCTGAGGGTCACATAGTTCTACCTCTGAATTTTTTAGTTCAATTTTCTGTATTTCTGAAAGTCACTATATGTAGTATTTGTAATGAGTTCTGTACTGGTGCCAGTTAGGTAATTATATCCTACACTTTTTTGTTATGCTGCTGATAAATATTTATAACCTAAAAGGTCTTGTATGTGAATTCTTCAGTATATAATTTAATTTTTCTTTTGATTTGTAGTAGTATTTACTTATTTTTATTATATGTTCAATTCCTTTTATAAATATATGTATAGTTTTATTGTAAATGATGGAACTTATAATTTGGAAAGAAAATTTAGAAGTTAATCCTCTAATTCAGTTATCCCAATAATATTCTATATTATCAAAATAGTCATTTTTTTTTACTTTGTACTTACTATAAAATATTACCCCTTTGTCATTAACTTTAATATATTTTTGATATTACTAGTAGGGTTTTACTTGACTCAAGTTTTACACATCATAATATCAAAAGTGCTATTTTTTCACCTAACAATAAATGTGCTTACTGAGCTCCATGACAATATCTCTCAGCTTGCAACAGGAAGGAAGCAAGTATTGGGAAGAACAAGCCTTGAGCGGTACTGATGGACATGTCAAAGCCCATCTATGTTAGTGCAGTGGTACCACAGCATTTTCTTTCAAGATTAACAAAGAGAAGTGTACGGCTGAGAAGGCCATCTTGTATCCCTTTGGTCTGGGCCACCTTAAGAATAGCACAGTTCAGGTTTTAAAGACGCTAATGGCTGCTGTGTAGATAATCATTTTATCTAACAAGATGCCTTTTACATTTTAACAAATAAAAAAACTTGTCAGTGAATTGAAACTCATTGTTTTGTAGGAGTCTTTCTTCCCTGTTTGTAAATGAAAATTCGTGCTGTCCTAAATAACAGTTGAGGAACTTCAACTTGTCAAGTTATTTTCCTTTGGCAAAGTGGATGGAAAAGATTTGGGGAAAAAGCAGAGGTCCTGGCACAATGGACAGGAATGCTGGAAAGAATTTTTAAGTGTTGGCATAGGAATTCTTTAAAAATCCGAACTCACATGTGAAGTGAAAGTAAAAAAGCATCTGTCCTATTTTATGCACACTGGATAAATAAAAATGAACAGTTATATTCAGCAAAGTCTAGAGCTCTTTAAAGTAAGGTATTCTGTCTGGCTTTTGGCAACCTTTATGTTATTTGTTCCACTGAATTAAAATATTATGTTTTAGTGAAGGCATACTTTGTAAAGCAGAAATTATGTAGAAAGGAGAACATTCCCTTTTCCTAGCTCTGATGACCTCAGATGAAATATGAAATCTTTGAGAGACTAAACATTTCTAGGGTATGTGAGAGAGACCTTTGGACCTTGGCCCCAGCTGCCATTCAGCCCACTAACTAGTGCCATGTCTTACTGCAGCATCTTTTGTTCTGTCTAAGGGGATAAATTAAGTCTTTAAGATTGCAGCTATAATTATTTTTGTTTAATTTTCCACAATTCATGTTTTTAATTCTACTACCAGATGTGGTTATATTTTCAATGAAAACAAACAAGAAACTTAGAGTAATATGAAATTCTGTTTTGATTCCTTCAGAACTAGTTTAAACCAGTATTTTAAAGGCCAGCAGGACATTTTCAGATTGTTGTCTGAGATGCTCCCATTGTGTTTTGGTGCTGGAGAAAAAGAATTTGGAGCTCTCATTCAGGTGTCTGTAAAACTACTCTATTTTGCTATATGATTATTAGTACAATGTGTTGTTTTCATGCATCAAATTATTAAAACAAAGATCTCAACACATGGTTTCATAATTGTGACTGAAATAGTCTACAGAGTACCTAATTTCCTCTGATCCTTTATGTTGAACAGTTCAGGCCGTGGTACTTGCCTTGATAATGAGCCTCCCAAGCGTGACTTTCTTTATCCAGCTGTGGCCCCAGGTCAGGTGTATGATGCTGATGAGCAATGTCGTTTCCAGTATGGAGCAACATCCCGCCAATGCAAATACGGGGTAAGAGGTCTTAATCCTTATGTTCAGTCATTTATATATGTTCTCTTGTGACACATGTTCAAGTGGAATCATGATGAACTTAGTTTGCGTTTCGAGCATTATTAGTTTACATAATGCCTTTTACACTGATTTTTCTGAGATTGTTTATATAATATCTATTTGTAAATATTTGAATAATAACTAAATTAACATATTTCACAATTTTTTTGTTAATGAAGCAAACAGAATTTTAGTAACTTTACGTGCATTTACTTTTTAAATCTCAGCTCATGATGCCAATTTTACTTTGTCTTTTAAAATATTTTAGTTTTAAGGACTCCTCTACTGCCTTTTCCTGGCACTCTTATAACTGTGCTAAAGGGCATTTTCACTGGCCTCTTGCCTTTACCTTAATTCAGTCTAGCTAGAACTGAGTCACCTCTATGGCTTCACCCACTGCCCACTTTCCAACACAACAACTGAGGAGGAACAAGGTGACACCAGCCCGCGGAATGAGAAAAAGGGAAATAGCTGTGGAAAAAACTGTGAGCAGCATGACTTTCTCTTCATGTGTGCCTAAAACAAGTCACAGGGCCATATTAGAAACCATTAAAACGCTTTTAATTTCACAGATAATTTTGTCTCTAATATAGGAATGTGTTGAATGAAAAAAACGGATTCTAAAATGTCAATCTGTGTGCCAAAAAATACTTAGGCTTTAAAACCAAATCTAAAGGCTTGGTTCTTATTGTGGTACAGATAGCCTAAATTCTTAGAAAATGATAACAATACAAAGAATTAAGTTTTAAAATAGTATTATTAGACTACATACTCACTGTCCTTTACCATTTACTCCTCTTGGACATGGAGCAATGGGAGGCATTAAAACACATATCTTGGGTGACAAATATATTGTTATTCTTGGTAGACCTTGGCAGTACTTTCAAGATTGTGTGTGATTATCTGGGTATGTAGAGACACATGTAAAACTTTGATTTCTCCTGTTTCTTTGTAAAGTCTTAGTTCTGAAAGGATCTAGTTTCTTTTGTTCCTAAATTCTCCTTTTTCCTAAAAGAAAGTCACCCAAGCATTAATCACAGTGATTAATTAATTACTACATGTACTCAGTGATCAATGAGATCAGAGATGCTTTCCACGATCACTCACAGTGTTTCCCATTTTTCTGTTCACTAGTGAGACAGTCTACATTGTACTTTTTATTCTGGAAATTGTGTTTGGAAATTATCTACCATCCATAAGCTTCTATGGTAGATAATTTATGTTATTATTATTTATTATTATTACATTTATGGGATTATGAATGTAATTTTTTTTGATGAACAAATTAATTTTAAAATTGATTTGATTCTTCTCACTTAGTATAGAAGGCTCACTTTTTCTAGATGGATAGAAATGAGATGTTGTAATTACAAAACTTCATTTTCTGCTTTTTGAATCTTTCTATATAATGGTTATGCTGACTTCTATATCAGAAATAAAATAAAATCAGAAAACTTTGTGAAGACAGCATTTGTAGAGATAATTTCTTATATTTTTGTCATGAACCCTTTCTACTTGTTTTTCAATGAAATACTGATTTCACTAGATACATATTCTATATGGAATTTTTATGCTCTTTTTATATTCTACTATACATTTCTAGTTAGGATTCTTGATTTCTGATAAGATTCTTTAAAATCTCTCCTGCCTCTTTATCTTGAACGTTGGGTGCCAGATGCAAGACAAATTGCTAAACGGTCTTATTAATAAAAACCTGGAGCCAGATATTGGGGTGAAAACTGAGAGATTAGAGAAATAGGACAAGCCAGAACCAACTCACCTTACCAACTCCTCAGCCTCTAGAGAGAGCTACTTCCTGTATACCCATGCCTATATGCCTTTCTGTCCCTGCCATCTTATTTCCTCTCTCCGCCCAGCTCTATCACTTCCTGTCTGTCTGTACAGACTTCCAGACCTCTATGGTTAACTAGTGCTAGGATTAAAAGTTTGTGCCACCGTGCCGTGCCTGGCTTTGTTCCCCAGTGTGGCCTTGAACTCACAGAGATTTGGATGAATCTCTGCCTCCTGAATGCTAGATTAAGGGCGAGTGCTACCACTGCCTGACCTCTATTTTTAGTATAATGGCTGGCTTTGTCCTCTGATGCTCAAATAAGCTTTATTGGGGTGCACAAATAAAATATCATCACAGGTTCATATAATTATCATACCCAATTTACACTGGTTTTTATCTTATGTTTTCCTAACATTTATGACATAAATATAAATACTACTTTGGAAATCAATTGACTCTTTGAAGACTGAGTCCAGTCTGGTGAGCACGTTGTGCTTCAGGAGGCAGCTGAAGGGAAAGATGACCTGAGTGTAAGGTACTAAGGTGGGTATGATATCATAACACACTGATATGAGACTAGGGAACAGTTGCCTTGAAATGATTCCTATTTTGAAAACGAATGACTTCTGGAAAGATTTTAAACAGTTATAGAATGAACCATAACTGCTACAGTGATACCTTTTCCCATCCCTTTCACTTTGGACATTTTGTAGTGATTGAGAATTTATCAATGCTCAACTTATCAATACTCCATAATTTCTTAGTGACTTCTTAGTGTATGTGTTCAGTTATATATTTGTTAATCACATTTGGGTATTTTTTGGAGCAGTTTTCCACAGTTATCATTACCTATTATCTAATTTTGTTTTCAGATTATCCATAAATTCTAGCAGGATAGAAAAGAAAATATAGTAGTTATAAATACAAAGAACAGAATAGCAGTGTAATATATAGATTAATATATTTGCATAATCTGGTAACCTACAAATGATAGTCAGTGATACATAGCTGTTATATAGTACCTTTTTCTGAGATACTTCAGACTGCATTGACAAAATTTATAATGATTTTATAGTAGTTTATAGATGGGGAAACTAAAATTAAAGTATGTGATTTGTACACTCCTAGATTAAAAACATGTAGAGATTTGACTCTGTCACATCTGTTGCTTCTAGGTATAGTAATTGTGCTAATAAAATAAAGATTGTAGATGTGTTTGTTATAGAGAACACTATAGTCTTCATCAGGTAATGTCTCATTCCTGATTAGTAAACTTCTCAAAACTCTTCATCTTAGCCCTGTCTTTTGGGAGAGAAGTAATCTCTAAAATTACTGTTTGGGGACATACATTCTCGGATGTCTGAAATCTTAAATTGTGGCATCTTGGAATGATGGAATTTCTTACCACCACCACCACCACCACCACCACCACCACCACCACCACCACCACCACCACCACCTCCACCTCATGTAGCTCAGGCTGACCTTAAACTTGCTATATAGTTGGGGATGACCTTGAGCTCCTGAACCTCCTTGCTCCTCTCAATTGCTGGGATTCTAGGCATGATATCATACTCAGTTTATGTGGTGCTGGGGATCAAACTCAGGCCACTGTGCAGGTCAAACAGGTAGTCTGCCAACTAAGCTACATCCTCAATCTTATTATCTGTCATTACAAAAAAAGTTAGGGACCAGATAAATGATTGATTTGATGAGTAAAGGCATTTTACCACTAAGCCTGAGGACCTGTGTTTGATCTTGGAACCTGCATGGTGGAAGGAAGGAAAGAACTAACTCCTGCAAGTTGTCCTCTGGCTTCCACAGCTGTGTGCGAAAGTTTGTGTGTGTGCTTCTTTCAGATAAGCTGCAGCGTGTAAAGCTAGATCTTTATTATCTTCAAATATCGCCCAACTCTGAGTCTAAGGATGATTTTTCGGTGCTTCTTAGAAAAAGTTCATTGCAAATAAAGCAACAGAACCGCTGTCTCTAGAAGTGTTATTTATTTATTTATTTTATTATTTTATTATTTTATTATTTATTTATTTATTTATTTATTTATTTATTTATTATTCAGAGCATCAGGCTCATAAAGCTCTGTAGAACCTATTATGCCACTTCTCTTCCACTTCTCACTTGTCTTTCATTTTCAATATCTTTATTAGAAAATAATCATAAAAACTAAACTGGCCGAAAGCATATTGCAATAAAAATAAGTTTAAACGTAGAAAGGAATTCACTTATAGCTTATATGATATATGTGGGGGATCTTTATGGCTGCATTCCAAAAATCATAGATTAGGGCTCTTTCAGATTTTGCTCCTTATTTCTTGATTCTGTCACTTTAAATCATACCCAAACCATAGTTTTCAGATAACACTTAAGAATTTAATATAGGTTCATGATACCTAATATATAATGAACTATTAACTGAAGGGATGAGTGTTCATCTGCAGATAGATTTAAGTCACATAAGTTTTATAGACATCATAGTTTTGTGTAATTCGTGGATACTTTTTTCTTGTATGTGAATATTGTCATTATTCATAAAGCTACTGCATACATCTTCAGTAGTATGTTGCAAATTCTGTGCTTTTAATATAGAACTAAATGATGTTCTATCAGTAGATAAGATATTCTCATCCATAAATGAAAACCCATTATCTAGCACATGGTTTCACAAGAGACCATAATGTTTTTTGGAATATAATATTTTTAACAAAATACTTTAAATTTAAAAAGTCTGTTCACCATTCACTATTACCTATAATGTTAAGCTGACCATCAGTAAATTTTATTCATTCATAGAAAACTTTTCAGTGAACAACAGCCTAATTGTTTTTGTAAACTTCAGGTAGCGAGAGCATTTACAAGATTGCATATATATTTCATGTGCTGGGCACATATTAGACATTCAAGAAGTGTTTCCATTTCTTCTGTGAATATCTGTCATTTGTGGTTATATTCATAAACAGCAGCTACACTAAGAGGAGAAGATGAACCTTCTGTGATTTGAGAGCATGGGAAAATTTTGAGAGCCACATATTGACTCAATTTCACCTTTTACTCTAACTCGAGTGGAATTTCTCTTGAGACAGGACTTCTGTCTGATCATTCTGTATTTAAAAACATCTCCCAGTTGTTCTCAGTCACATCATGTTAGTAAATTCCT